GACCCCCCCCCCCCCCCAGGCCCCTGATTGGTCTGTTTTTAATCTGGGGGTGGAGCCCCTGAAGGAAATAAAAGAGCAGTGTGCCTGGCACATGAGTGGCTGCGTCGAGGGGCGGTCAGGAGGATGAAGAAGAGCTAGAAGAGCTGGCCAGCGGGGCGGAGCTGTTGCCCTGAAGAGCCTGAAGTCTCTTTGCCGGATGGGGAGCAGCAAGCTTGCTTCCAGTAAGTGTTTACACAAGCCGACCAGCACCAGGACTGGGGAGCTCTCTACCCCCTGTCCTGATTCCTGGCTCCCAGTGTGGAGGTGGCTTGCATTTAGTTATGTATTCTTATATACAAGCATGGACCAAAACATCCAGAAAGCTGTGACTAAAGCTAAGAGACAGTAATAAAAAATGAACAAGGGAGGAGCAAAATACTAACTCAGAGTATGGAGACAGGTAACAATAGAGCTGCTCCTAGATGACGCTGATTAGGAACTGGTTCATGAATGTCTGAACTTCTGGGGCCCTGACTCCGTGGGTGGGAGTGAACACCCAGCCTTGCAGTTGGCAAGTCAGGGAGAGGCTTGTACCCATCCTTTGGGGGTAGATGACCTGTGGCTGGGGGTGTTTTCACTTTTCTTCTTCCTGTTCTCTCCTAAACATGAGTTCAATAAATGTCATTAGCTTGCAACTGACTGAAGTCTCAAGTGTGCTTGCCTGACTCGTAGGAGGGAGAGTGTTTTGGTTCCCAGGGGCTGTGGAGGCATGATGATGGACTGCAGTCAAGTTGGAAGTGAGGATACATCTGGTTGTTAGAAAGATAGCTTTTATTGAACAATCAGATTAAGGCCACAACAAAAAGCAGTCGAGTTCTGGCTGCATGCCAGACTGCCTGTGGCAGCTGTAGTTTTAATAAGGCTTGTGGGGTTGAAACAATACTGAATTATTCACAAGAACTTTTTATAAAATCTATTTACAGTAAAGAAATACCAGGTTTGCTTCTTACGTCATAAAGGGCTGGAGCCTAGACTTGTTGCTGCCTTGACATATCAGCAAATTCCTTCTACCTCACCCAGAAAGCCTCCTGGGATGCTAAACTTCCCGGAGATGCCATATATCCAGAAAGGCTTAGTCTATTTTGCACAGTCAGCCGTGACTGGAAATGTTTTTTTTTGTACCTTGCACTTTCAAAAAACAAGGTGTGTGTCTTATTTGGGGGAGGTTGCGGTATGTGAGATAACACACCATGTACATGCCCAGACATGGCATGTGCCATAGGCAATACAGTGGGTTTATGTGTGTCCAGCTATTTGCACACACCCCTTGTGATTTAGGGTTGTCAATTGTCCATAAATATACAGGCAGTCCTTAAAAAAGAAGACACTAAAAGTGGCTACCCATTAAATTAAAAAAAAAGAAAAGAAAAGAAAAAAAGGGAAGAAGTCTTCTGTAAAATAACTCAGAAACAGTACAATTGTTTGGAGGTCCGTGGTCTCCTTGATGTCAAAATGAAACTGGAATGAAAGCTTCAAAAGATACAGAGAGCAGAGCAGAGCTGTCTGTCAACGCTTTCGGCCCGCTAGAGTTTTGATATCTCCTTCTCCCTTCTTGTGCTACCAAATGCTGGTTGTGTGTCCCAGCTGTCACCTGCCTGCTTGGTGCTCACCCAAAAGGCCTACAGGGCCACGTGGCCCTAGACCAAGCAGGACAGGGACAGAGCTGTGGGGCTGTGAGTGGAAGGAGAGATGGCAGGTGGTGGTCTGTGCTGAGACGGCAGTAGTGGAGCCAGCAGGGGTAAGGCTGGGGTGGGCAGAATGATGCTGAGTGTAATTGAGGAGGTGGGGGGGGGGTGAATGGGAGATTTCATAGATTTCATAGACATTAGGGCTGGAAGGGACCTCGGAAGATCATCGAGTCCAGCCCCCTGCCCAAAGGGCAGGAAGTCAGCTGGGGTCATAGGATCCCAGCAAGATAAGCATCCAGTTTGCTCTTGAAGGTGTTCAATGTAGGCGCTTGAACCACCTCCGGTGGCAAGCTGTTCCAGACCTTGGGGGCTCGGACAGTAAAGAAATTCTTCCTTATGTCCAGTCTGAAATGGTCTTGTAGTAGTTTATGACCATTCGACCTAGTCGTCATCCCTTGGGGCGCTCTGGTGAACAAACGTTTCCCCAGATACCTGGGGCTGGGCAGCATAGTGTAAAACCACTGCTGCAGTCAGGTAGGGCAGCCAACCCAAGGTTTTTTGGGGTTTTTTACTGACAGTAAAAACACAACCAATAAAAAAGCTGCTTGTCAGTAAAAAATTGATCCTATTAGCCTTCATCCCTGCTGTGTCTGGGAATGCTCACTCATACTTCTAATCGAAGTGGATTTCTCCCGTCACACCCCCTGTACTTTTTCTTAAGTCAATTGAGTTTCATGGACATCTGTCAGACCTTGATTTTTGTCCCCAGAATGACAGCAGGCTTTCTGACCCCTGGCAACTCCATTTCTCCAGCTGGCTGTGGGAATCAGATGTTGACAATGGGTGTATCAGAGTTCCTCCTTCTGGCAGTCATGGCTCACGACAGGTATATAGCTATTTGAAATCCCTTCCAATATGTGAACCTCCAGAGCAGGAGGGTCTGCTTGGGCCTGACAAGTGCGGTCTGGATTTTGGCATCTACAGATGCCTTGATTTTTATAGCTTCTACATTGGACCTGCCCTACTGTGGCTCTAAAGAAATGAATCACATTTTTGTGAGGTCCTAATCCTGCCCAAATTGTCCTGCTGTGGCATATCCCAATATGAGACTTTGCTG